GAAATTATTTTGTAGAAGTCGAGAAAGAAACACAAAAAGGAAGCATGAAACTGTAATCTGTTCACATTACTGAAGCACGGTTATGCAATTTGTTAAATCTGTTATTTATTAAAAGTTGATCGAAATTATAAGCGATCTTTAGTGTGATAGAAAATCATTTGAAATGCTTGTTAGAAAGAAGCATAGCTGAATAAATCGGTGATACCGTGTGGATAACGTGAAGTGATTTTTGTCTGATATGAATTTGATTGATGCACGTTATTTGACTTAATCAATAAATAGATAAGTAATGTATTGCATAAAGATTTGCATAGAAATTGCTATTTGTTGAATTAAAGGAAGTGTATTCTAATCGGAATGAGAAAATGCAATCATAAAATTTATGGTGCTTTTTTTTTTGTAAGTAAAAAAATTTTTAACTGTGATATCAAACTTGCTAGATGGATATTTTTTCTGCTACAGGACAATAACAAAATTGAAAAATTTTTCTACTTTTTACATATATTGTTACATATATTGATCAATATTTTTCACTAATAATGAAAAATTTATCTTTGTCGTAATTATCATTATAAATTAAAAGATTATTTCATAGGGTAAAATATTTGTTTTGTAGTACAAGAACCTAACCTTTTGATCCTGAATGTACTTCTGTTTCAGCATTTACAATATCACTCCATGAACTGTGTCCATGTCCAGCACGTGAGCGAACTCGAAATGCATATCGCGTACCTGAATCTAAGTCATCCAGTGTTACGGTATTCCGTCCAACGTATGATGCCGTTTCAGGTTGTACATCAGTTTCTACGTCCCAGAACTGAAAGTAATGCTCATATTTTTTCTTCACATCAAAGCTAAATTTTAATTATTTAATAATTTTGACTTATTTCACATCGTAGAAATTGTTGCAGTTTGTGTTATGCCAATTTATCAAAAAATATTGAAAATGTGGAAATCGATAAATAGGAAACAAAAAAATGTGTAATTCGCAGTAAGTGTTTTTTCGATAAAAAGTCTCACCTTTCTCGTGATATTTATTCTACTTCAGCATATTAAGTTTATTTTATGCCATCATTTTGAATTTTTCCATTTTCTATTAATAAAATGAAATGGGATTTAATTCCTCAAAATTACATCGTTTCTGAATTAACCAAAGAGAAAATTTAATAGAAAGAAATAGTCTGTAACCGTGTATTCATAACCATCAATTGGCCCATATGTTTCATCACAGCGTGGCTTTTCCCACGTAAACTGGACAGTTGATTCAGATACAATATTAGCTCGTACATTTTGTGGAATACCAGCATCACCAATGCAGGAATTAGATGCTGCTGAACCAACAGTAATCTAAAATTTTATTTAATAAAATACTTAAATTGCTTGTTTGCTTCCTTTCTCTTTTTTTGTTGTCTACTAAATTTAAGAGAAACAACAACAACAAAACAACAACAAAACAGCAACAAAACAACAACAAAACGACAACAAAACAACAACAAACAACAAAACAACAAAACAACAA